GTCGCGCAGCAGCTGCTCAGGTCGCCGTGTCCGGTGTCTCTCAGGAGCAGTGGCTGTCGACGCTGGTGTGTCCACAGTGTACCCTCCTGCCCACCGTCTCTGACCTGCCTCGGGAGGTGCTTTCGAGGGAAGGCTTTTTTTTTTTTTTTTAAAGACAGGCATGATTAGTAAATGATTTGGCTTCTTGGCGGTTATAAAACCAGTTCTAGAATTTCTCAGATTTTTACCTGACTGGCTGCCATAGCCTAGAACTCGTTTCAGAGCCGAATCCGCAGACACAGGACTGTCTGCGGCACTGGGAATGGATGAGAGTCAGGTCGTTCTGGGCTTCTAAGCGGCCCTGTCTTAGGATCAGTTTTTAACAGCTGGGGTTCCTCATCTTTCTCATTTTGAGAGAACATCCCTCTAAAACCCAATTTATAGATCAGACCATATCAGGTGTGCAGGAACGGGGCTTGGAGAAAATCCTTGGACCCAATAAATCCGGCACATTCTCAGTTTTCAAAGGAACCTTAACTCACCAAAACGTAGATACATTTATACTAAAGACTTCTAAAGGTATTTTTTAAAACCCGAATACAGGAAAACAATAATACATGGAGGAAAAACAGTTTTAACATTTTTCATGAAATGGACCCCTAAAAAGGCATTTTCACTGTCTTTTTTGGAGCTCTAAATGCGCGCTAGTTCCCAGCCTTGGCCTAGAAAGTGATTCTGAGATAACAAACATGGAGGCGGCCTGGACGAGCCTGCCTAAAAAGGAGCGTGAGGAGGACATGGAGAGCACAGGCTGGCCGCCTCCCAAGAAACGCAGCTTTGGCCCCTGATTGCTGAGAGGGAGGGAGTCCTTGACGATGAAATTCCTTAAATTCCTTAGCAGGGAGCTGGAGTCAAAAAGGCTTTTGTCTTTACCGAACAGAGATTTGGCTGGAACTGCTGTGACGACCTTGCTTTGGAAAACAGATGACAGCTGTTTTCTTGACGCGAGGCCGTGTGACTTCCTCAGCCCTCCACTCCACACTGCTGGGTGGGGATCCCACGGCAGGAGGAGCTGCGTGCTGAGCGCACACCGAACGTTTCAACCAGATTGGACGTTTTCTTAAGTGTCGACAGTGGACATTCTGTCTGTATAGACTTAAGACCCTGGCCCTGTACTCTCTTCCGGTGTGACACTGCGTGTCAGTACCTAAGGTTTGGTTCTAAGGACGTCTAGGCACAAAGTTTTCTTGAAAATAGTAAATACCTCAGGTTGTGTAATGTATGTCACAGGGAGTCGTGATGCTTGAAGATACTAATAATTTATCTGTACGTACTATATCTTAAGTGCAATACATTAAACATAACCCAGAGAATTTTTTGGAAAGAGCTTTCAGATAGGGGTTTTTTGTTGTCAAGAATTAGAAACTGAGTTAGCTAGATCCTCAAATATTTGGAACATCCAGACCCAGATATACTGGCCCATAATTAAGACTAGCCAAGTTGACTTTTTTTTTTTTAATATTGTGTCAGGTTATGGTTATCTACATCTACATACCCAAACTGTCCTTAAACGAATCCCATAGTTATGATATGGAAACCCCAAAAACTGGTAGCCATAGTTGAACAGGGTCGGTTTAAAATTTATATAACTGTATCAGTTCTATGTTACTTTTAAAATTGTCTACTGGAAGAAAATATACTTAAAAAACACAAGAAAATGACTTGTCATATCTTGCATTTGTTTGGCAGTATACAATGTTTAGTCCTTTGAAATAACAACATATAGCAGTCCTATAAAATATCCTCACCATGGAAGGCATTCTGACTAAAGAAAATGCCCCTTAGATTAACTGAATTCTGTGTTAATTGGATAGTCATAATTTAGTAGATATGAAGCCAAACGTATGAAAGATTCTGCCTTAACTAAGATTTAGCAACGGGCTAATTTATTCGGGGCTACAGTTCATTCACATTACTCAGTTCGTTTCAAAGTCTTATGTTCACATATTATTCACATTTAAACACTAAAATCTTCAAGCAATAAAAGTTTGACTTCTGGTCTCTGAGACTGACAAAATCTAAACCAACTAACCAGAGAACCCAGAAGATGACAAATTCATAGTTGTCAACAACACGTTTCCCATTAGAGCTTGTTTATAACCGGGCGCTGTGCATGTTGAACGGGCACCACCTTTGCAACCATTGTCAAGTTCGGGCGAGCGATGCTCACGGAGCTGGCGGCCCGGCCTGCGGAGGGGGCCGCGTGTTCCGTCGCATGCAGACACTGACCCTGTACTCTCTTTCCTTTCCTGTCTCCTGCGCCATGCTCGCTGGGTAGCAAATGGAATCTCTGGCAGTAAGTTAACTTTCTTTCCTACTCTCTGTCCAGTTGAGGCATGACCCCTAATTTTAATAATACTAGCGATAGCATGTTCTTCCTCAAACCTAAATTTAAATTCTTGTAATTTCTCTCCAACTGATTTGGGGGAACACAGTTTGTCACCAGAGAAGCTCCCAATTCTGAGCTGAGTTCTTTCTAGTCCATCAGCAAGAGAAAGGCCTTACTCACCCCACCACGTAGCCAGACTTGACACTGAACAGTGCGGTGTCTTTGAAGCCGCGTATCTGACTCACTTTCACCAGTGACAGCCCCAGACCCCATCCCGGCTGGGGACGAAGTGGGTGGCGTTTAGAGGCCATCAGGAGCAAGTGGAGCTCAGAGAGCAGTATGAGCACTGGTGGGGGGATTACTCGTGATTTATCTTCCCTCCAAGGAGACCAAAGCCATTTAAGAAAACATTTGCAATGCCAGAGGTATCTATAGGACGTAAGGGCCATTTTGTAAGACTTCTTTTTGATGTGCCTTACACACGAAGTTGTGAATGTTTTCGTAATTTTTTTTCTAAGCACATTTGGACCTCTTTTTAGATCTCTTTAATTCAGCAAATATTGAGCACTGAGTAGAATCCAGAGGGTCATGTGACTGTCGTGTTTATGAATTTATAAACGAGTGTCTGCTGAATTTATAAATTTAACAGCTAGAACGACTTAATGTTTTGCCTTTCAAATATACTTTTAATAAAAAATTCTTTTAAAAAACATTTATAGCTTATAAAAATTAAGACAACCACAGCTGTAATTTGTAGGTATGTAACTGGCAAATCGAGTGGAAATTTGGCAGTTCTCCCATTTTTTCATAGCCCCTCCACCTCTCTGATGAGTCGTCTGCCAGGTGTCATCCTATGTGATACTGTGAATTTCTCACTGATACTTACCAGATCCTGTTCTGTTTTTAATGGAATAACAACAGCTAGCTATGGTCCCTCGACTCGAAAACAGTATTTGTCTCCACCAAGATTTCACTGTTATACGAAAATGGTCCTTAATAACTAATTTCTTCCCATGCAAATTCTCTCTCTAGCAATTGGAACTGTGTCAGAGATTGTATAAGCTACACTTCCAGCTGCTGCTGCTTTTTCAGTCCTACTGTAAACTCATCGGACAGGTGCACGAAGTCAGTTCCATGCCAGAGGTGAGCCCGTGCCCCGCCCAGCCCCAAGCCCCATAACCCACCTGTCGCGCTCCCCGCCTGTCTTCGTCCCACCGAATCATCTTGCTCAAGCATGAGTCTTGAATGTGTCTTGTATTCCTTTCTGGTCTCATTTCTCAGTGCCAGGACTAGGGTGAGGCAAGTGACAGGCCTAGGCCCAAAACTGGCAGCCTCTCTAAGGGCTATACCGCAAGGCTTCATGTGGCCCGCCCTGACCCCGGGTGTCCTTATTTGAAAAAGTTCTTTGTGTTCTAGTTTTTCTTCATTATATTTAGCTTTGTGTTACTTCCTCTGATGCTGCGATAAGGGACCGACCACCTGTGTGATGCTTGACTCTCCCTACCCCCTTGCCCGGCATCAGGACGCTTTAATAACCCTAGATGTGAAGTCGGTCTAAACGCACTCGGTCTGCGTGGGCCAAAAGTCTCCTAGAAGTGATGAAATGCTGCCACATAGAAAGCGAAGTAAGGACGGTGTGCAGAGGACAGCAGGGACGCATGGAGGACGAAATAGGACAGCTTTCTGGAGGAAGGCACACCTGAGCCGATTCTTCAAGGACGAGCTGGAGTTAGGGGGTGGGACAGGGGCTGAGGAGGAGCGCCCCAATGCGGAACATCGCGGGCATAAATGCGGTGGTGAAGAGAAAGGGGCTGCGGGCACAAGCGATGAGAGCTGCCGGAATGTGAAATGCAAACCACGAAGGGGTGATGGACCGAGGCGGAAGGGAGAGACGGCGCTGTGCCTGGCAGTACTTTGGTTCAGTGGCCGAGGTGTGGAAGTTGAATTTGATGCCAGCTGGATGCAGACAGCGAGGCCAGGCAGGAGGCTGCTGATCTAGTTCGGATGAGAGTCTGAACCAGGACAGAGGTGCTAGGCATAGAGAGGAAGTAGGACATGTGAGAGAGCTGGCGGGGAGAGGGTAGACGAGGGAGAAGAGTCGGGCGAGATGCTCAGGTTCCATCCCAGGTGAACTAGGGGACCGGCGGTGCCACAGGTGAGACGATTTAAAAGGAGGCCTGAGGCAACTGTACATCCAACCAGCCAAGCCTCTGCGCGCTGCCCAGTGACCGAGCGTGCCCAGGGGGGCCAGCCCAGGTTCATGACATCCTGCGGGCGGCTGGACGTGAGGCTCCAGGGTCAGAGGAGAGACCTGAGCTGGAGGCGCAGATGTGTGGCCGGCAGTGGGCAGTCAGGAGTCCCCGACGCCACCCCACCAAGAGCACCGGGCGAGGAAGACACACAAAATGACACTCATGTCACCATATCTATCACTCAGGTGGAAAAGAGGAAAATGACCACATGGTTTTTAAGTATACTTTCGTTTGCCAGTTTCAAGGGAGGTGTGAGTCGGACGTCTTTGTTTATGAGACTCTTCACAAACCAGATAAAAGAGAAGGCAGTTGGTATGTTGTTATGTCAAGATACTTTTCTAGCAAGTACAAACAGGATCCTTAGAGTCCATCTTTGCTCAAAAAATAGAGGATCTGCATGTCCTTTTCCATATTAAAAAGTTTCACTTTAGAATAGTAAGTTATGTGTTACATACTGTGTGTGTGTGTGTGTGTATATGTAATTGTTTTAAATCTTTCACGTTTAAAGTGAATTTCTCCTTAATTACTCGAAACCCAGGTAAATTTTAAATACTATACAAATACGTACAGTACTTAAAACTTACCTGGATTTAAAATCAATTCACTTTCAAACCGAAAACTTTACATAAGATAGTCTACTTTCGTATTCAAAAGCATCACCTCGGGAAGTTTTGAATCTAGCTCTGGAGTAGGCGTTTGTAGTCACCAGGCGTCTGTGTGGAAACAACTCGTCCTTTCGCTTCGGCTCTGTCACTCGTAAAGTGGGCAAGCTGGGCATGAAGAAACAAAGACGCTGGGTGAATCAAATTTCCAAGGAAAAACAAGCATCATCCACTTGCATTTCAAAAAGGAAAACAAAAACTTTAAATTTCCCTCAATTTTTTAAAATGCTCTTGAGATCGGATTGCAAACAGTTGTCTTCCATTTGGGGGCCCCAAATGGAAGAGATGCGGGTTCTCTCTCATGATTTACTTTTTAACACCCCAGATCTTTTAGTTTCAATCATTTTAAGGGAAATTATCTTTGACCTCTGTAACATGAATACTATGACATTGAGATTTTGCCTCTTCTTCCTTAAAATTATATCCTTAATCTCTTTCCAGGTCATAGAAATAGTGAGAATTTTATGTTTCAGGGTCCACGTCGATTGCATTTATTGGGCACTTACAGGCCAGACTTACTAATTATTTTACATACGCTCTCACTTCATCTTTAGAGTTACCGTGTGACATCTTCAGTCCCACAGGTGCACAGACAGACACATAAGTCTGCTGTACTTGACCGCGGCCCACTGTGCCCTCCCATCCCGCCTCCGCTCTGCCCATCTGCTTTAACAGCAGACGTGCTAAAGGGCGTCGTAACCTGTTTCCTGCCCCACGAAGTCCTGCAGGCCACAGCCCCGCCACCGCGAGGGCCCGCACACCCCCGCAGCCCTGCGCGGGTCCCCTTTTGCGCCCCCCTCCCCCAGACGTTCAGCCTAACCAGGCCTCATGTCACCGGTTAGTTTTCTTTTGGGGCGTAAGGTCCGGCCTTCAGCTCAACGCAGTAAACACATTCTTTTACAGCTGCTGAACATGTCCAGGGAGCTGAGTGACTTGAAGAGGAATCTGAAGGAAGCCACGGCGGCCATCGCGGCCGACGCCCTGTACGTGGAGGGCGCATGGCCCGAACCGACCTTCGCGTCCACGGAGGCGGCCATCCAGTCCATGCTGGAGTGCCTGAAGAGCAACGAGCTGGGCAGGGCGCTGCGGCAGATCAGGGAGTGCAGGTGACTGCCGGCGGGGGCAGGGAGGGGACGCTGCGTGGCGGGGACCCGCGTCTCAGGGCCTTCCCGCGCCCGGGCCAGAAACCTCGGGCTGCGGAACACGGCTGTCTGATGGGGGCCCTGGTCACCCGTCATCCCTAAACGGTGACCCTTCAGAGCGTGCCTCGGCAAGAGGCCAGGCCCAAGGTGGCGGCGGCGTGGGGACCATGCTGAACTAGCCACCTGTACGTGGCGCAGGTTCTCCTGCGAGACGGCTGCGGCCGGCAGCACAGCTCCGGATTGCGAAGGACAGAAAGCGACCGATCGCGGAGGCGCGGGGCTCGC